CTTTACTAACAAAAACCAGAGGGACACTATTAACAGTTTTTTATTTTCTTAAAAGATAAAGATGAAAGACGATTGACAACTCGCAGAAAAAGCCAAAAGAAGATTTGTGTATTACTAATACAAGATTAACATACTAATAATAAGATCACCCAAACTTTTCTTTATCCCACTATATACCTTCCCCTTTCTTATATGAAAAATAACTAACAGCCTCAGGGTGTAGAAAACACTGTTGCACAGGACTTGAAGCCTCCAAAAATTGTAATAAAATTAGCCATTTAAATTAAAAACGAAACCCCAATTTAAACTACACGATGCCGAGACCATAAGGATATAACCGCGTGTAACTCCAGAACGGGTCATCGCGATAGTGATTGAGTCTAGGCACCTGGTAATAATAGAAGTTGGTATCATAGTTAGCCTGGCTGGTTGGGAAAGGGGCTGGTTGGAGCAGGGAAGGCCAGATGTAATGAGATACCCACCTTCTCAACTAAAGACCTGGTAAACAGCTCCATTTTACATTACATTTTTGGAGGGTTTGAGTCCCAAGTAACAGCATTTTTTGCACCCTGAGGCTGTTAGTCTTCAGCAGCATTTTCTATTCTTTGGTTACATTTTTTGAGATTGTAGTTCAATGTTAAGATTATTTTCTGTAACCTTAGGCTGATAGCCTTGTAGGCTTGCCAAGTCCCCCCGGGGGGCAGGGAAACCCCCACCCCAGAGGCCCGTTCTCCACTGCCCGCGGATCGGGCCCCGGGGGGAACCCCACCCCGACGTACGTGTCACCAGGAAGTGACGTGACGACGCCAGGCACACTGGGGGCGGGGCCATGACCATCGGAGGGAAAACTCTATGGTTTTCTCTCCAATGGTCGTGGCCCCGCCCCCAGCGTACCCGGCGGCGTCACGTCACTTCTGGGTGATGTGCGTGCGGCACGCGCGCTCCAGTCGCTGCCCGGGAGTCCCCCGCTGCGACTGAGAAACGACTTGGCAACCCTATAGCCTTGTGTGTTGCAAATTTTGAAGTCTTTTGATTCATTGTAATTCTTTGATGCTACTTTCATTGTTAACATTGTTTATTGTATTCCATTTTCCCATAGGGGGCATATTCATTTGTTGTTTGCACTATTGTTAATTAGCATACTGCCAAGTTGGTAAATTAACATTGAGCACACAACACAGTACAAGGTTTTTATTTATTCGCTTTATTATATATTAAGTACTACACGAGGTAATATTACCAGCCTGCACACAAGGTGCTTTCTTGTCCTTTGCTTGCAATCTATACACCATGGTCTGATTTTTCTTTTTCTGACCCATCTGGAGGCTGGTAACATATTCTGCAATCTTCATGCAGACTCTCAGTTCAGTTCAAAGGTACTCTTAGTATTTACAGATAGAAAGTCTACCCAAGTAAAGAAAAGCTCTAATGTATGTGGCAGGAAGCATTATTTATACCTTTTAAAAACAATTCTTATTGCTGCTTGATTTGCCTAACCTGACATAATTTATTTATTATTATTATTTATTAATTTCAATTTATATCCCGCCTTGCCAGTGCAGCACTGGCTCAAGGTGGCTTACACAGTTAAAATGCAATAGAACCAACAAATTTATTCAGTTCTAATTTTTAGGTGATTTTGTTTCATTTCATCTTGATTGTATTTATTTATCTATCAGATTTATACCCCACCCTCCCAGCCAAAGCTTGTATAGTCTAGAATTTGTACAATGTTTTAATTGCTAATTGGAAACCACCTTGGGAGATCATTTCTTATTTAAGACTGCAGTGTAAATCTGTTAAATAAAGCTATTCCTATTGTGATGTTCCCTTTTGCTAGCAAAGCAGGAAGTTCCTGCACCTAGGTTCACACAGCAGAGGCAAGTGTGTTCAAAACAACATCCATTTATTAGCAAGAAAACAAGGGAGCGCATGCAGTCTACAACTGTAACAAAGAGAATTAAGGAGCAGAGATTCGACCACATGAGATTAAAGCAGCACACACACATATCAGAGTAGGAAACATACTGTTCCATTGTAATATCTCCAATAAACACACCACTCCCACTGGAATGAAGTAGGTTTGTCAGAACATAAAAATAATAACACAGCACATGCAGGTGAATTAGCTAAAAGAAAATTTACTAAAGCAATTAGGGGGTTACATGGAAGAATAAAACAATAAAAGAGTCTCTATCTAGCTACATCACTCTAGTAACTCCACTGGAAACAATGGTGGATGGCAGCAACGACCCCCTGGTGCAATCTTTTTGAAACTGGGCTCTACCTCAAAAAACAACCCCCCCAACCCCAGATACCCCCAGATAAGTGGACTCTATAGCATTATACCCCCTCTCCAAATCCTGCCCTCCTCAGGCTCCATCTCCAAAATCTCCAGGTATTTCCCAGCCTGGAGCTTGCAACCCTAATGGTGAAACATCTTTGCTGCGCTCCCACCCATCCTCAAACTCAACCCTTCACAAACTCCATCCACAAATCTCCAGGCAGTTTCCAAATCAGAGTTGGCCTAACCAGACCATTGAGCCTCCTCCATTTTTCAGTTATGTGAACACAGATTTAAATTATCCCCTGTATCTTCAGTTCTCTCTGTGGTCTATACATCCCTTTATCGCGGTCTGCCCCCCCAAAAATGGCAGCCCCGTCAATGGCAGAGCGCGAGAGAGTCTGCATAGTTGATCGGACTTGAACCGGAAGACGTTCGTTAACAAAAAAGGGAGGCGAGGCGTACCCTTTAATGTTCGCGCTCCTATCTCGTCGCCAAGCGAACTCGCTGCGCAGAGCATGTCGGGAGCAGAGAATCGGGCGGTGCCTGTATTATCAAAGCCTTTCCCGCCAAGCCTCGGACGAGGCGGAGATTCTTTTGATTGGCCGTTTCTTGGCGCGGCCTTTTCTGATTGGACAAGTCTTCATTCTGGATTAAAGACAAGAACGGCGCGCGCGCTGAAAGTCAATGTAAGTGGTTCTGATCGGAGGAGGAAGCAGTAGTGGTTAGAATCGGAGTTATGAGTTGCTTGATGATGCCCGGAGTGCAACCAGGGTCTCCCTGCAAGGCCCGCGGTCAGATACAGGTAAGCATGCTTGGTGCCGTTTCTAATATAATATGAATCTTTTCCACAGTTTGGCAAGAAGGGCTGCTGTTGTAAAGTTATGCTGCTGGAGCGGGAAGACAGGTCGTTTGGATTTTGGGTGATGCTTCCAGGGCTCTTGGCCGCGTGTGCCCTGAAAAAGGGGATGGGAATAGGAGAGCAGGACTTGTGGATTCGGGAACTGAAAACCACTTTTATGTATTTAGCAAATTTATAGCCTGCCTCTGTTCTGAAAAGAACACCAACGGTGGTTTATATCATTCGCCTCTCCTCCATTATTGCCTCACAACAACCCTGGGAAGTGAGTTAGGGTGACTGGCCCAAGGTCACCCAGCAAGCTTCCATGGCAGAGTCTCCCAGATAAGTCATAAATCAAAAGCAGTAATATCAATAGGTTAGTAATACTAGTTGGTCAGAATGGGTGTTAGTAAAGTTGGCCTGGAGAGGGGGCTGTGTAGAGAAGTTTGTGCTTTACCAAAATAGCTTAAGAACATAGAAGAAAGCCTGAAAGTACTTCTTCACCCAAAGAGTGATTTAACACATGGAATTCACTGCCACAGGAAGTGGTGGCGGCTACAAGCATGGACGGCTTCAAAAGGGAATTAGATAAGCATATGGAGCAGAGGTCCATCAGTGGCTATTAGCCACAAGGTATAGTTAGGGACTTTGGGGCAAGTGATGCTCTGTCTTCTTGGTGCTTGGGGGGGTCAACAGTGGAAGGGCTGCTAATGTCCTGGCTCCACTGGTGGACCTCCTGATGGCACTGGTATTTCTGGCCACTGTGTGATACAGAGTGTTGGACTGGATGGGCCTTTGGCCTGATTCAACATTGGCATCTCTTATGTTCTTATGAATTGGACAAGAGTCAGTCTACACCACCATCATGTTTCCAGTAGAGTCCAACCAATTTGTAGTATGTTTGATAAAGATGCCTGACCTTATTTATCCTTTGTTCCTCCTCCACTTTAGGTTATCTTTGGACCCATGTTCTCTGGGAAAAGGTATGCAAAACAGCATTGTCCCAATTAGAATTAGTAGCCTTGAGGCTGGTATACCAGTATTCTCTACCTACAGCTTTAGTCGCACAGGGTGTGTGCACCTACCTGTGGCATATAGCCCTCTGTTTCCTCAGTGTTGTGCCTCTGTTTGTTTTCCAACTCTCCAATCAAAACTATACCAAGGAGGGGAGGAATTGCATATGTATTGTAGCATGCCTCAGAAGGACTCTGCATTATACTATGGGTCTGAACTGTAGCAGTTCCTAACTAGTTTTATTACTCCATTGAAGGTATAGTATAGGCTTTCCTATGAGCCTGTCTCCCTCCTTTCCTGTTGGGGTGGTGAGTGAATCCAATGGGACAGGGGAGGGTACAGTCAATTCACTGTTTCATTACTTTTGTCTTCACCCAGCTGATTGCATCCAAGCTTATATTGCCATCTTGTGTTCACAGGGGGGGAAAGGCAGTATTTACAGGCAAGTCTTCTGGGTATCATTTCCCACTTTTTCTTTGCAGCACTGAACTCATGCGCCGGGTCCGTCGTTTTCAAATTGCACAGTACAAATGTCTGCTGATCAAGTATGCCAAGGATACACGCTACTCTGCCAGTGGGGTCTCCACACATGACAGGTAAATTGCTTCAAATGCTGCCCTTTGGCTAGTGGGGAAAAGGGCAGTTTGTCTACAACAACAAAATCCTGATATGGAATCTGGAGAAAGCAGAAATCATAACTTTGGGGCAAGGCTTATATGTGTACTTTGCGTGTGTTTGATTGTACCAGAGTGATCAGGGCTCCAGTGTTATTGATACGTGTGTCATTTTGATGGCTAACCAAGCACAATAAAGAACATTAGACAAGCACATAAATATTTTATTTATTGCACTAATACAAAATACTCAGGCTGCAGTCTTATAAACATTTTCCGAGAACTAAGTCTTATTGAGCTCCCTAGGAGTATGTCTTGTTGAGCTCAGTGGGAGCTACTTCTGCAAGATGAGCTCAAACCGAAGAAAAACAATAAGGCAAAAAGGACAACCTGATCTATGATACCCTCATCTTATGTTTTTCATTATGAACTCCATTATCATAATGTAGGTAGGGTACTGTCTTTGTCCACTCTTCTGCAGTTAATTTCTGTGGCATGCATATTCTAGACTGCCTGACACATGAGCACAGACAAGCAGTGTTGTAGATATAATAACCAGTAATTAGTACCTATTGTTTTGAAGCATGGGGAACTACTAGGCTGATGCGGTAAAAACTTAAGCTCTAGTTGACAATCAAGTGCTCGACTGTCTGCAGTGACACCACTACAAGGAGGGCGTAGTTCCTCCTGTGGCATAAATTGATCCTATGTGATGTGATAAAAGACTCTTCTCACCACCCAGGACATGTCCTTGTGCAGGTGAAATGAAATAAATTTTGGGATCCCCAGAGTTTCCTTTTGCTAATATGCTTTCCTCAACATGGTGAACCCCTCAGCAACCCCCAACTTCTGTTGCTATAAAATATCAATACATATGATGGGTATTTATGTGCAGAAAATTGCAGAGGCAGATTATTTCTCAGATCTATGCATTTTTATCCTTCCCTTCCTCCAAAGGACAAGGCAAGGCACATGGTTCTCTGGTCCTCCATTATCCTCACAACAGTCCCGTGGAGCAGAGCTGAGAGAAAATCCTCACAGTCCCTTAGCTTCATGATGGAGTGAGAATTTGACTTGGGGAGTCCCCAGTCTTAATCCAACAGCCTAACAATGACACCATACTGGCTTCTCCTTTTTATTTTTATAAATATACAAAACAAACATTTTACTGTATTTGAAGCTGTACACAGTAGCCCAGTTCCCAAGTGTTTGTGAGGGCATGTATAATCTACGTACAGTGTGCACTTAATTGTTCTTTATATAGGAGTTGAGTAATTCTCCTGGTACATTCATTGCATGTACAGCTTAAACACCACATATACCCAGGTACTGGTCTCTACTTTGATTTGTAGAATGAACGTTCATTGGCTCTTTCTTACAAACAGATGTACACATGTTCACTATAACATGTGAACAGGTGTTGTATTATTGTTTCAGTACATAAGATTTCTTGTGATTCTGCCCTGTCCCAACTCCTAAACCAGCTTTCTCAAAGCTAGATTGCATTTGTGTGACAGTTCTCCAGATATACCGTGTTTCCCCGAAAATAAGACACTGTCTTATATTTATATTTTTTCTCAAGAAGACACACTAGGGCTTTTACCACAAATGCATAGAAATCCTGCTAGGGCTTATTTTTTGGGTAGGTCTTATTTTTGGGGAAACAGGGTAAACTGAAAACCTGGCACAGAGCCATTCTGATGTTACAAACGTTTCTTTTTCTGGACAGGAATACCATGGAGGCCCTGTCAGCTTGTTACCTCAAAGATGTGCATCAAGAGGCCCTCAACTCTGCAGTGATTGGCATCGATGAGGGCCAGTTTGTAAGTTCTTCGTATTAATTTGTCTTCGGTTCTCTAGTCAAACTTTGCTAATTTTGTTTTGATGTAGTATGGGGCTCTTCATGAAAGTAATTAATAAAAGAATATGGACCATTATCCTTGAATATGAAACACTTGTCCTGTTCCAAGGATATTTCCATTACTGTATGTCTTTCTAACACCCAAGCTGCTGCAAGTAGGTTGATGGTAGTGAGAAGGTTCAACTAGCAGTTAACTGACTTAGCAGAGCAACATACTGATGTGAGACTAAAATAGCCATTAATTAAACAGCATGTAGAAGATGGTTATACAGAAAGTAGACTACGGACACACTATTAGTCGATTTTTGGTAGACGCACATTATGGTTGGTGGTATTTTTGCAAAGAATAGACTAGTGGACTTCTGTCTCATCTAGCAAGATACATACGTTTATAAGCATATATATAATGGGTCACTTAACACATCAGGGGACTTAAGTCAAGGGTCCCCAAACTTTTTGAGCCTGCAGGCACCTTTTGAATTTTGAGAAGTGGTTAAGCACCACCCCAAAATGGTTGCCTCAGGAGGCAGACCCAAGCACAATACTTCCCTTGCTTTGCTAAAGAATAGCAGAAGGGGAATAAAAGAAGTGAAGGAAAACCCAAGGCGGAACTGAACCAGTTTACCAGACAGCTGTTTCTTTCCCCCAGCAGTGGCTCTTTGAGCCTTACCTAACTTTGTTGCAATTCTATACAACAAAAGCAAACATCTGCTTACAAATGCAGCAATATCGAATTAACCTGTCCTATCCTGCTGTATCAAATTGCATCCTCGGGGGAGGCAGGTATGCTACTATTTGCAGTGTTTTGAGTAACAGAAAGTTATCCATGGGTAGTACTGGATCTGTTATGCAACTGCTGACCTATGTCAAATTTTCCATTAGTTTTATTTATTTATTCAATTTATACCCTGCCCTCCCTGCCAAGGCAGGCTCAGGGCAGCTTACATAAAAAGTCCATCATAAAAACAACCAAAACCCATAAACAAATTAGTTATCCTAAAGTGCTAGAACAATATTCAGATAAAGTGCGAGAGCAGAGAATTTCAAATTTAAACAATACTCCATAGGTGGCAATAATGATGGTGTTCCTGCGCCAGCTCCGTTGATCTACTTATATATATGCAGCATTGGTGGGCTGAAGATGGTGAGGCAAGGGCACAGGGACATTCCTCGGTGTACGATGCAGCTCCTTAGTCAAATGCCTGGTGGAAGAGCTCCATCTTGCAGGCCCTGCGAAACTCTAAGAGGTCCTGATCTCTTCCGGGAGCTCATTCCACCAGTATGGAGCCACCACCGAGAAGGCCCTGGTTGTCGCCAACCTGGCATCTTTGGAACCTTAAAGGGCCAACCGGTTTTGGGTCCCTGAACGCAATGTTCTCTGGGAAACATATGGGGAAAGGCAGGCCCTTAGGTATGCCAGTCCCTGACCATAAAGGACTTTAAAGGTCAAAACTAGCACCTTGAAGCAAATCTGGTATTTTTATGGGTTGGGGAGCTCTTCAGGGCCCCAGCATGAAAGATAGAAGAATAGGGAAAATTAAACAGGTTTGATAGGCTTCAGACAAAGAGTATCATATGAACTCTTCTGGACATTCCCTGTCTTACATAGGGCTTAGATCCTATAACTGCTTTCCACATGTGCTTTGCTCGGGCCACATTGTAGCTCACTTCCTCTGCAACTAGCACTTTTGTTTGCACAACTGTCCATTGAAAATCATTGAGTAAATTGATGTTCTGGTGGCAGAGGGAGTGAGCTACCATGGCCAGAGTGAAATGCATACTGAATGCAGTTATAGGGTTCAAGCCCATGTTTTTCTCCACATATGCCATCCAGAAAAAGAGGGAGTCATCTTAAATTACCATACAAGCTAGTTATGTACATTAATGAACGTTAGGGGAATCCTCTTACATTGAAGGTTGTCTTCCGTTTGGGTAAATACATTCCTCCTAACACAAGTAGAAAGTAATGCAGTGCTATGGGCTACATTCTGAGGAACTTGTATGGTCTGCAGAGGTTTATTTTCCCCTCTTATTTTCACAGTTTCCCGATATTGTAGAGTTCTGTGAGGCAATGGCCAATGCAGGGAAGACAGTCATCATTGCAGCCCTGGATGGGACCTTCCAGAGGAGGGTAAACTGACAAACCTTTACTCTCTCCTTGTGGCTTTTGACTTGTTTGTGTCCTTTAGATATGATATACCTGGCTCTCACACTGTAGGCCTTTGGGAACATCTTGCAGCTGGTCCCCTTGGCAGAGAGTGTGGTGAAACTGAATGCGGTCTGTATGGAGTGTTATCGTGAAGCCTCTTACACAAAGAGGCTGGGAACAGAAAAAGAGGTAAGGCTATGTCCCTTAGAAGGATTCTCATCTGTGACAGAAGTACAGGCTATAGACTAACTGAAGAATGTTGCTTTTTTTGTAACTGGAAAGGAATTTGTTTTACTTATTTTATTGGACTTCTAGGCCACCCAAAATTAAAACAATACCATAGATTAGTTGTTAAAAACAATTATCAAAGTAATAAATTAGAATAAAATCAGATGGCAGTATATGCAACAAAATAGCATAAAATTATCCAGTGTGAGCTTGTACAAACTGTGTGTTAGTGAAACTGGTTCAATGACAATGAATGGCGGGAGAGGGGGCTGGGGAGGCCAATTCAAATGGAAAACTTTGCTGCCTCAACCGTGGGCCTGGCAAAACATTTCTGTCTTACAGGCCCTGTGGAACAGCATCAAATTCCGCAGGGCCTGGATCTCATCTAGAAGAACATTCCACCACGCTGGGGCCAGAACCAACAAGGCTCTGGCCTGGGTTGAGGCTAGATGAATGGCCAGGGTCCACCAGAGGTTATTGTCCATACAGCACAATGCTCTTTGAGTCCTTCTTTTGTCCAACCAGGTGGAAGTGATTGGAGGAGCAGATAAGTATCATTCAGTCTGCCGTGTCTGTTACTTCAAGAAGCGATCACACCAGCCAGTGCCTGAGAACAAAGAGAACCTACCAGGAGGAAGCAAAGCATCGGAGATCTCTGCAGCCAGGAAGGTCTTAGCTGCCTGTCAGATCAAGCAGTGGAGCCCATCAAAGTGAACGGGGGAAAGGAAGACTGTCTGCTCAGTGGATTTGCCTCACAGGATTAATAGTGAGACACTAGAAACAGAGAGCAGTTGCTGCAGGGGAAAATGCAGGAGCACAATGCAGCATGCTATCACGTTTTTCCTTATTTAAGCAAAAGATCCCTTTAGTACCCTGCTGTCTGAGGAACATTTCCCTATGATGCCGTCTTTCCTTCTGGTGTAAAACTTGCCTGCTGTTTTTACTCACTTTAGGGTTTAACTGCCCAACAGTCTGGGCTGGCTAAGCTCACTAGCAGAACCTGTTTTATAGTAAGAACAGGACATTAATTATACCCTGCCACTCTATAGCCTCTGGCATTCCTCTTCATCAAGACAGTTTTTTTAAAAAAAACCTAACCCTTTTCTCCAGTATGGAATGATTTATGCTTGACAGTTTGCTTAACTCCTTATGGAGTTATTTGTTGACTTTGTCCATGCATCTCACTGTACTTCAAGCTGGCCAATATGGGAAGGTGGTTCTTCTGTTCTGTGATAAGAGTGATTCAGAGTGCAGTCCTGTACAAAGCCCTTTGATTTCAATGGGCATTGACTGGAGTAGCTATGCATTTACATATGATACAGATTTGGCTTGAAAGTTCTGCCTTTTAATTTATTATCTGATACTGCAGTGTTAGTGTCAGTTGCCCTTTATAATGGCTATTCTTTCACTTGCCTACTATATCTTATCTTGGAGACAAACAGCTGGGGGACTTTGCACCTGCTTTAAGTGACACTTTTGCACTTAATCATATGCTTCTACTAGGAAAATTCTTCTCTAGTAGTAACTCTATGATCTGATCTTCAAGTTATTAAATAATTTGGTAGATACTGAATGCATTCCTGGTATATGTACTTTGATATTTTGTTCTTTTCTAGAAATTAGATGTATATTTCTTATAAAGTGTGACTGAACTGCTGAAAGGAGGGCCTTGGAAGCTTCCAAGAGTCAGTTGAAGGGTATTAATATTTGGGCCCTTTCTGGTCTGGTAGCTGTTTTCCTACTGAAGCTATACTAGATTTAAAGGAAAAAATAAAAGCAGAATACATTGAGAGTCTATTCTGAAAACAAAGTAGACAAGTGTTATACTTGTCATGGTAACTTCTGGGGCCTCAAAATATGTTCCCAATAAACACAATTTATCCGTAACGATATTGCCACATGTAAGGGGGCACATGATCTCACTAATCATTGTGAAGACAAATCAAAAGTCAAGTGGTAGAAATGAAAAAATTTATTTCCAGGTGCTCAATACATCTGAACCCTCTTCCAACTTGTGGGCCTCTTGCTACCACAGAATAATTGTTCTATACCACGTACAATTGGGAAATAAATAGACACAACCTGCTTGCAGAGATAGTGTGAGGAAGAAGACCACGGCTCTTCCTGTAAGCCTTGTTTATCCAGGCAGAGTTGCACTGAAAGCTTGAAGTTATTTCTCCATCTCAGAGTAGGATCAGAGTCCTACCATCTCATAATACATGTGCACTGCAGCTCATGGTCTGAAAACCCTAATCCAGAGAGGAGCTTGATTGCCTGTTGAACAGGCAAACTATACAGCAGTTAACATCTTTCCCTCATACTGCAGTAGTTAAATCCAAATCTTTATACAGAAATGGTTTTATAAAACCAAAAAAGGCCTGTAGACCTAGGCTTTGGCATCATCCACCCAATGGTACTGAAAAGCAGAACTAGGAACATCCAGTCCAGTCTAGAACAGCAGCACCATAGAGCCATAGGGATTGGACCCCTACATAGGAGCTGTGCATACGGTAAAAAACAGGCTATCTAGGCAGTGGCATAATGGCACTTCTGGGAAAAGAGTATCATTTAACTAGGAACATCAAGGGCACCCATCTCTTAGCTACAACAAAGAGGTCTGATGCCAGCTCTTGATTCCACTGCATTGATTCAGCAATTGTTATGACTTATAATTCACACACAGGCTTAAAGAATACTGCCCATAGCTGAAAGGAACATAAAGCCTGTTCTTTAAAAGAAGCCACCTTCAGAAAGGGCAGAGGAGAGTAGGAATATCCCAGAACCCATCACACACAAAATTGTGGCACCCTTGCCACTTTAACAGTGGATTCCCCAACCAAGCAGTGAATCAATTGCATTTATATGGCTATCCCTGCTAGCTGCTTTAACATTGGTAGCAAATCAGTACACAGGTGGAGGCTGGTAGCCCTCTGAGTCCTCTCTCGTGTGAGTGAAGGGTGGCTGCTGGTAGCTTTCATGGCTGACGTTTGGATAGCTTGAGTAGGGGGTTGCGGGATCTGGAGCAGGGTCAATGTAACTCTGAGCAAAATCCTGCACACCCATGCGGTAGCGTTGAAGTGCAAAAGTGATCAGGAGCCCCTGCATAGAAAGAAAGTTATCCATTTGGCCAACAAGGGAATTCATGCATTCAAGTCACTTGGGAGAGATGAGTATGTTTTCAAGGACTCAAACTTGAACCTGAACTAATAATTTTTCCCTGATTAGAACAGAACTTTAGCCCTCTCTCTTAAATTAATTTGAACAGATCTTCACAAAAAAATCCCCTCCAACCACACTACCAGTTCAGACTAAGGGTTTGACATACACTTACTGGTTCCACCAGAACCAGAATTAATGAGCACATAAAACCAGAATCTGAAAGATCATTTTGGGGTGTTCTCCACACCAGGTTTCTGTCTACAAGAACTGGTTCTAGGAAGCATAAGGCAGGGACTTGTATAGGCCTGCTTCCTCTTAAAGGCAGAAACTGCAGTGAAGATATCCTGTTGGAAGGAGGAAATGGGAGAAGAGACCACTGCTGGACTCAGCCAGCCTCTGTAGGAGGGAACTGAAGACTAACCTGTTGCAGACTTGGCTATGCTGCCCTGCTATAAGACTCCAGGCAATGCAGAGTGCAGCAACCCACAAAGTCTGTTTGCCCAGGTAAATTATCTTTACAGTATTCCTTACATTTAAATTCTCGTGAAAATCAGAATTGGGTTGGTTCACATATGCCAGTCCTACCATTGAGCCTTTATAGGACAAAGCAAAACCACGTCACTTGCAGTTGTGTCTCAACTACAACTGAACCCCAACATTTCATGGTTTTGTTCTCTGGTAGCCTTGACAATGCCACTATCTTGGTCCTGAAAACAAAGTTGTTTTCAGCCTGGGCTCTGTGGAACAAGGGTTTCACAAGATTTTGCAGCTTCCTTCTCCACACACTTCTCTCTAAGCACTAATTATAATTTTCACATTTGAATTTTATGCCTGTTAAATTATTTCCAGTTTTTTCTTTAACTGTGTGGAAATAGGCCAGAGAAAGGAGAGAGGAATGAGTTCTGTATTACAAGTTTTTCAACCAAAAAGAGTTAAAAACCCATGACTATGATCACAGTATCGTCCCTTATGAATGTGCTGTTTCTTGGTATTCCTCAAAGACCAAGGTGACATTAAAAAGGTAAAGGTTCCCTTGCTCGAAAGCCAGTCGAATCTGACTCTAGGGTTGCAGTGCTCATCTCCGTTTCAAAGCCAAAGAGCCAGCGCTGTCCAAAGACATTTCCGTGGTCATGTGGCCGGCATGACTAAACACCAAGGCTGTTACCTTCCCACCGAAGTGGTACCTATTTATCTACTTGCAATTTCTTGCTTTCAAACTGCTAGGTTGGCAGGAGCTGGAACTAGAGACGGGAGCTCACTCCGTCATGCGGCACCCGGGTCTCGAACTGCTGAACTACCGACCTTCCACAGCCTGCAGTTCAGCGTCTTAACCACTTGAGCCACATTACCTCCCCAGAAATCTGATTTCCTTGGAACAATAGCCTAATATCTTCTATTAAGCATTTGTAGCATTTTCCATACATGTCACACACCTCATTAATTTTTATAACACACCCTCCCATAAAATAGATCAGTACTATTTCTATGTCACTGTCTTAAGTCCAAGAAAGGCCTAATGCAACCTTGTCAGTTAATGGTCAAGGTAAGATTTCAAATGGGTCCTGGCTGTGTTAAATTAACGTAACAGGCATAACTTTTTTTTTTACCCAATCCCCAACAGTCTGTAGACAACTGCCTGAACTGGCTAGCTGACAGGACTCAACCCTGAATTCTATGGGGCCAGAGAGACTAACCCTCACTCACCCACGAGAAAATGGAGAAGAAACTGAAGGCAATTGAAGCACGAGCAGAATCAGCCCCAACTGTTACATCATCAGCTTTTGTTGATGCCCACTGGTTTGTCAGCACACAGAACCCAATGAACCACAAAAAGGTCCAGAGAGCTGGAAAGAAAGAAAAAATGCTTGGCAACAGATGAGAGAACGACAACATATGAATATTATAAATATTATATAGAAACGGTTGTTAACCTTTGTTCTGGGACTCCACTAGTTTGAAAGCAGGGAATTCAACAGAAAGATGTACATCATACAGGCGCCATTCACTCTCACATGCTAAGCCCCAGTTGACGGGCATTCTTCACTCTCACATGCTAAGCCCCAGGTGACGGGCATTCTTCACTCTCACATGCTAAGCCCCAGGTGATGGGCATTCTTCACTCTCACATGCTAAGCTCTTTCTAATTTCCCTCTCACTGGGGGATCATGGCTGTTGCTTCCCTTTACCACTTCAGAGAGTTGCTTCCACTATGATCTGACTTTTCTAAAAAATTTATTCTGACCAAACTAGGCTTACTCTCCAATCGGTCACATACTAGTATGCAGATACAAGTTTTCTTTGTGTAGTACTTCACTCAGCCCTAGGCTTCACATGGAGTCCATTATCTGGCCTGTGCTGGAATTGAAGTCCCTGTTTTGCAGGGTGCACTTAACACTGCCTAGAAGCCTCATTCAAACAGCTGCTGACATTTTCTTCAGGGCATGCAGCATGCTTGTTCATGCTGAGGAACACCAGGATCCCAGTCATTGTCTGGCAGCACCCTTGCCAAAGAACTGTAGTATCAGTGTTTTTGTAACGCAATCTTTTTCTCCTGTAAGGATACTTTCATTCATTAAATTAAAAAAAAAAACCAGGCTCCCACCAGGCCCGTAGCTACCACAGGGCCCACCCCCCCCCAGTGGTTTTTATGGGCCTCCCTCCCTGAGCCTTGACTCCCCCTCCCCCCACCATTGCCTGTCGGCGGGGAGGACAAGGGCGCACAAGCAGCAGAGGTGGTGAGTCTGGGCTGAGAGATGCTTGCTGCCTGGCCCACTAGTAGCAGGTAAGCCCAGCCAGGCAAGACAAAGAGGTAAGCGTGCCCACATGCTGCAGCTTTGTAGCCCAGCCACTGCACGCCCTGCCTCTCCCGGCCCTGGGAGGAAGCTGAGAGTGGAGGAAGGGACGGAGCCAGACACTCTACTGGGAAGGGCTGCCCTTGCTGGGGAGGAGGGAATCTCCCCCCAATTTAATTAGCTGGCGGGGGCCTGGCCCCCTCAAAAAAAACCCCTAGCCACGGGGCTGGCTCTCACAGGCACCAGGTCAGATCCAAACACATACATCATTCTGACAGCAAGACAAGGGCAGCCACTTGGAGAAGGAGAGCTTGGAAAGAGGAGGCGCAGCAGCACAAATGCACAGCCTTTTAATGTGTTGCTTCAGTTCATTCCTTTGAGCATCAAATACCTGAGAAGCCCAAGTCAGCCATAACGAGGTACTTGCGATCAGTGGCACTGCTAATCTGTGGGAAGTAGGCATCAACCATGAAGAAGAATACACAGGCCAGGAAGGCAAGCACACCAATTCCAATGCCATAACGACAGGCATCCTCGCTGTGGTTAAAGACGCAATAGAGCTGTGGCGAACTAGTATTGTTGGTGTAGCCTTCCCCAATGATGCAGGAGAAAACTATGAGTGCAAACACCTGCAAAGAAGAATACAAAGCTAGCACCTTCCACTGTGAAAGGAGGAAATTCAAGAGGGGCACAACCCAACCAGGATGGAGTATGAAGCCATTATCAATTCCCACCAAACGCCCAAGTTCCAAGCACCTAGGTAAATATTACTTTTGCAAGATTCTCATGTGTCTGCCCAAACTGGAGTTCTGCAGTAGTATGGAGACATAGGAAGCAAAAGCGACTGAAGGTGTCTCCCCAACAAAACTCAGAAGGCTACATAATACTTAAAGCACCATCTGAGGATTCCCTTAAACAAATTTCCCTTTGAGGGGGGGGGGGGAATCCCTCAAGATTTATGTTAAGGCTTCCCGAACACAAAGCAGGCCCCAAATGAACCACTGTTGTCCTATCTATCAGTCAACAGCTAGGCATACTTCCTGTACTGAAAAAAAGGATTGCTGAGGCAGATCAAATATAAGCACGACAAAAAGCAGAAGTGCCAGCACAGCAGATGCAAAAAGCACCTTGGAGAAACAGGAACTCCAGGGTTTGGAGCTTGACACAACTTAGCTGCTGCCCTATTCCTCATCGTCTACGGAAGCACTGATGGATCCCCCCAAGACTAATAACTGTAAGCGCCTAGCAGCAGGGCAGACGCCCTCGTAATATGAAACCTAAACCAGACTCACATGCCAGTCACCAGCTAGTAAATAGGCGCTGAAAGGAGTCGCCCCCGCCTCCTTCACCCCTTGCCCATCAGCTGACACCCACATGACCAGGTTGCGCCTCAGCCCTCACCTAAAGCTATGGCCTTTATTAGGTTTTTAATCCACCACCACCCCCCAACGCGACGACACTTTCACATTCAGGGCGCCATACGAACCAAGCCTAGCTCTGGAAAGGCGCGTAAGGGCACCTCCGTCTCCACATCTGAGCCCTCAGCGAGGCTAGCCGGTGGGGGCGCCAAGGGAGGCTCCGGCCAGCGCTAACTGAAGCGCTCGGCCGCAGGTACTTTTCAAACTACCTAAACTCCTCCTAGCAGCGGCTCGGGAGAGGCCTCGATCAAGTCCAGCGCCTCCCAGGGCTGAAAGTTTCCTCTAGCCCAGCGTCCAGCGTCCAGCAGATGGCCTCAAACAGCGGCGCATGACACTGAAGCGCTTCAGCTCGGATACGCCACCCCATGTAAGGGTGGCGGCACAGGTGCCGGATTCTATAACGAGCCCTCCCCTCCAACGTAATGGTCCCTCGTCGTCTGTTCCTGGCACACCTGAACCAGCCTAGCCAACTTTTTCCCCCTCTCTTCCGCGCCAAGCAAAAGGGAAGGCGCACCAACTCCACTCGGGAAAGGGGGAAGCAGAGTGAGACGGCCTCTGTCGCCCCAACCGACCGACCCACCTACCTAACCCTCCACTCACCGCGCTCAGAATGCGCACCACCACCTGTGGCTGCTGCAGAAAGCGCCACAAGTCAAAGGTGCCGCCAGCCTTACTGGCTCCGTAGGCACCCCCACCACTCTCCATGATTCTGATGCTTCTTTCCAACACCCGCCCGGCCCGGAACTCGCTGTAGCCGCCTCGCCCAAATTTGTGCCTGCGCGTCCGCAAGCTCCGCCTCCAGGGAGGAGACCTAACCCGAGAGCAAGCGACGGGTGGCTGCGACGTTGCGTGCTCTCCCGACCGAGTCGAGGTCCCTGGGCAGTGCAGGTGCTGAGTGGTTTGGTTTGCGCCCCGTCCTCCTTCCCATCAAGAACAGGCAAAACTGAGGCAGGCGTCCGGTCCGTTAACGGTTAGGCTTCTCTTCGAAGACCCCACTGATGAATATTGGTGCTGTCCTAAGCAAAGTTACAACCCTTCTATAACCCACTCAGCTCAGATGTGCCCGTTTAGAATTGTACTGTAATGGCTGTGGCTCCCCCCCCCCCCTTGGGGCTTTTCCTTCCTCTTGAGGTAAGAGCAACATAGTCTAGGTGCTTTCCGGGGGAAACTGAAGACTTTGGTTTAATCTGCATTTGCATTTTTAAATTAGTTTCATGCTGTTGTGACGCCATCTTTCTCTATGCTTGTTTGAATGTTGTTTGGAGAAGATTCTTTTAAAGCAGTGCAGAGGTGCAATGACAGTGGAGCCACCCCAAAAGGACCATAAACATATGTAGACATGCAAAAGTATGCTAGCATTCTTGAGGTGTGAAAACGACACCAAATGTAGACAGCTTTTTTGAAGATGGAGTCAAAAGGTTGGGACACCAGTGGGAAGACAAATGCAGATTCAGTCTTCCTTATTTTGGAAGGCTTTGAAAATTTATGTTTGGTTGCCTTTCTGGTGTAGACTCTAGATCAGGGGTGTTGAACTCATTTGTTATGAGGGCCGGATCTGACATAAACGAGACCTTGTTGGGCCGGGCGATGTGTGTCATAAAATGTAATGCCAGGTAGCGCAGATATAAACTTTATAAATCACACAAACACAAAGGTTAAAACGTTAGCTCTGGAAGCTGCAAACCTGCTTTTGATTTATTAACATTCACCACAGAAATCTCATGCTCAGAGTACTGAATCTAGGACCCAGGTTAGAACATGAAATGGCTGAGTGATTAAGAGAGTCTGGCGAAGCAAGCTATGATGCAGCAGCAGCAGAACTGGAAGCAGGAGATGGCCAGTTCCACTGTGAACCTGATAGAAGCCCTATGGGGGCCTGATCTGGCCCCTGGGCCGCATGTTTGACACCCCTGCTCTAGATCTCAATCATTCCTGTTTCACAAACTTTAAGAGCTATTATTTTAGCTTCCTTTTGTTATTTTTACCATTACTTATTGTCTGGCTTTTTTAGAAGGCAGGACATTTTTTAGAAGTCGGACTCGACTGTGCGACTGAACAACAAAAAGGACACTTAAAATAGTAAAGAAACCTCTTCTTTACACGGATAATTACAAGGCACTCCAAAAACTTTAGGAATATGATGTGTGTGAGAGTTCGTAAAGTTAGTAAAGGTAAAGGTTCCCTTGCTCGAAAGCCAGTCGAGTCCGACTCTAGAGTTGCAGTGCTCATCTCCGTTTCAAAGCCGAAGAGCCAGCGCTGTCCGAAGACGTTTCCGTGGTCATGTGGCCGGCATAACTAAACACCAAGGCACACAGAATGCTGTTCTGTGAGTGGATCAAACAAACCGATAGGCCAATTCTGGGCATGTTTATTCAGATGTAATTCCCAGTGAATTAAGTGCCACTGAATTTAGAGGAACTTATTTTAAGCAACCATATATAGAGTCATGAGCCACAAATGTGTTCAGGAACATGATCCAGGAGCATTCATAGTGTCACAGCATAATAAGCTCTGTAAAGCAATGTAAAGCTCAAGTGATTAAGATGCTGAACTGCAGACCAGAAGGTCGGTAGTTCAGCAGTTTGAGACCCGAGTGCTGCATGACGGAGTGAGCTCCCGTCTCTGGCCCCAGTTCCTGCCAACCTAGCAGTTCGAAAGCAAGAAATTGCAAGTAGATAAATAGGTACCACTTCAGTGGGAAAGTAACAGTGTTACATGCGCCTCAGCGTCTAGTCGTGCCGGCCACATGACCACGGAAATCTCTTTGGACAGCACTGGCTCTTTAGCTTGGAAATGGAGATGAGTACCGCATCCCTAGAGTCAGATTCGACTGGCTTTCAAGCAAGGGAAACCTTTACCTTTACCAGGGCCAGCCTGAGGTTTTTTTGCACTCTAGGCGGGGCTACCTTCTGGCGCCCCCCCTGCACATGCCCAAGTATGCGGTTGCCAACCTCCAGGCAGGGCCTGGAGACAAAAAAGTCCCCCCCCCCTCCACCAAATGGCAAGCCAGGGACTCAAGGGGGAAGCTGTTCTGTTCCCTTCTCTCCCCCCCCCCAGCAAATTATAAACACCCCCCTCTCTCCGTGCCATGGAGTAACTTGAGGGTGAAGGAGTGGGACTGATATACACTGGTGATGAAGGAGGTGTACATATAACAGAATCTGTGGGTTTCCAAGGAAGGGGGATTAGGCATCGTGAAAGAGGCTGGGGCTCTTACAGTGCAATCCTATGAAGACTTACTCCAGTCTAAACCAATTTATTTTAACAAATTTAGCAAACTGGAGTAACTCTGCACAGGATTGCACTGTCATGGTTTTGTCTCAAATTCCCACTGGGTTTCTCCCCCTCTCCCCTATCCTGTCACTCTGTGACAGCAGCCAAGAGAGAGGTTTCATAATTTTTGGGAGGTTTCACAATTTTTGTGGAATCCCACCTTCCCCTGGTGGAATTCCTTCATACTCCCACATGACTCCTTCTGAGCCCCTAGAGCTTTCAGGAAGTCCACCCCCCCCCCCCCCAAGCACCCATCTCCCTTTTCCCATTCTTCTAGTGTGTTGGGAAGCACCCAGGGAGTTTGTCTTAACATTACAGGCAAAGATATACAATTCTAAAGAAATAAAGATAAACACAAAGAATATAGCTAACCTAACTCAGACTAAAATTACCTGGCTCTCCCACTTGGGTGAAAAAGAATGGGTGGAGAGAGAATGCTGTCTCTTCATACTGTAAGTCAGTCTCTCTCTCTCACACACACACACTTTTCAGACTGACGAGCTGCTTTTCAATTCTTTTATTCCTGGTTACCTCCATGGTCAGGTGACCACTCTTCTTAGAGATCCGAATTTCTGATGGCTACCCAAACTAGTTAGCTAACCACAGTGGCAGTGATCTGTAAAGAGAAACAGCTTGCTCTGTAAAGAGAAACAGCTTGGCAAGCCGGCCCTTGGACAAGCCAGGGAAGGCATGGGGAGGCATTTAAATGCCTCCTGCCCAAAAATAGCCCTGGGAATAAGTATCCATGGTCAATTTGACACTGTAATGTAGATGGCATGATTTTTGTTCAGACTGAGGAAGCTTGACACTCAAGGTCTCCTCCAAAGAACTCAGGGAACTCCTGTTGCCAACCACTGTGAAAGGAAAAACCTGTCTAGAACATAGATGTAAAAACAGATGTATAAATAGAACCAATTCCATAATCTAATTCATCTGTTATCTCGCTCAGAGATCCTCAATGCTGTTGAGCTTGTGGACACTTCTGAAGTTTTAAAAACCGTGAATGGGCACCACAACAAAGTGGCTGCCATGCGGGTCGGGGCCAATCTTAAAATATTGTGAAGTTCCAAGCCCACCTATGATGAAGACAACTGTCTCCAAATGGGGGCTTCCTACAAACACAAAGATGTTGTCTCCTGGGCTTTTCTGAAACACTTACTGTTTCAGTGAGGTACAGGGTACAGAAGATCGGGAATGGCCCTTTGCTATAAGGAAGGAAGGAAGAAATGGGTCCCAGGAAACAGGGTGGCAGGTACCATGGCACCACAGCTTTGTGTCGGAGATCACTGATCTAGATATTACACTATGCTCTAGCTACTGGCTTCTCATGTAGGAACTTTGTATTGCCCAGGACATAACTCTTTTTAAAACTGCACTGTTGGACTAGGGAAACAGCAGACAGGAAAGGAGCTGAACACCCCTTTCCCAACTGGCCCACCCCACCAGTAGATTCTAAACGAACTGGAATTTTACAGAGAGTAGAATTTTTCCTTGTCACCATGATCCAGCCGTGAGGTCACTGCTTCCTAATAGTGATACTGTAAACATCCTAAGGATAGGGCTGCATGCAGAGTGTGTGATTGGCAGCTTTCCAGTTCATTAAGTGGACCTAAGCAACACAATATCTACTGATCCCTGGGCATTATTTCCATGTCTAGTTATAGCTTTTATAGAGCTCCTTATACAGGGTACAACTCAGAGGCAGAAGTGAAGATTCCAAGGTGATTCAGCAAAGGGTCAGACTCTGCTAACAGAAAACTCTGCTAACATCAGCAGAGCCTAGAAGGCCTTGTTGAGCTCCATAGGAACAAAACTTATCAAGGTAGGATTTCGGGTGGGGGTGGGGAAACAAGTGAGGAAGGAAAACCACAAAGACAGACATCACTGGTCTGATTTACTATGCAAAATCAAAGACAGCAGCTGAAGTTTCATGATCACAGTGGCACTAAAGAGGCTGGCGAGCTTGGACGTCTCCTGCCTACTCACTCTTTACAGACAGCCAGAGACATTAAGAGCCACAATGGGACAGCAGCTGGAACTGCCCTGTTTGCGTATCCATGTCTGTGGGGAGGGACAGAGATTATTTCCTAGTCAAAGGGCTCCTTCTGGTTCAGAAAATTCACAGACAATCATCCCATACATTGTCATCTGATAGGTTTGTACAGAAATGGGATCTGGATGGCTAAACGTCCACCTCTACAGGACTTGCATTCAGTCACACTGCACATACTGAATTTTCTTTCTATTACACCAAGCACAGCACTGAGATTAAACTGAATCACAAGGGCTGTCGTGACATAGGGCTGAGTTTTACAAGTTTGCATGGGTCCTGGAAGGAAACAAAACAGTTTGATGGCACTAAGGGAGGGAGGAGTATCACCCCAGAGAGGTGTGCAAGAACGGTTGTTGTGTCAGATTTCGGTGGGCATAGGGTTCTTATGAAATCCTAATTCTAAGCACACTGGTAGGATACTGGTGTTGAAAATGGAATGGGAAAAATAAGC